TATATCTTTCTATTTATTTATACATCTATCTATCTTACTATCTTTCAGCGTATCTATCTATCAATGTATCTATCCCTAATGGTGTTTGTATCAGGAGAAGCGTGTAGTAGCGAGGGGTCAAGGTCACCGGTCCTGGGTCAGTGTTGTAACCTTTGACCTTTACAATCTTGCATACGGAGATATACCTGACGGTCTGGACTTCTCAGGTCGGTAGATAAAATTTTTTTACTGTTACTTTACGCCCCTTGGGACACTTAAGTAAAATAACCACCCGCTCTGCGTTGTTTTCGTCAAAAAATTCACGCATTTTCACTTCAAAAGGCGACAAAACTGTGCACAACTATTTTTTCGGGAAACAAAAATTAACCCCGGGTTCCCTCGACCAATCTTGGCACCTCCTTGGTAAAGTAAAATTTCCTTAACTTCCTAGTAAAGTAGTTGTAAATAATTATTATTCAAAATTTGTTTCTTTACGGAAAGAAAATATTTGACCAGAGCTGTGAACTCTTGCATCGAGAATATCGAAATGAATGCTTGATCTCGATCTTTTGTTAATCTGCAGATTAATTTTATCTTTATTCGATATCCTGTAGTGTAATTGTACCCTGAAGGGATATCCGAAATAAAGAGATTAATCAATGATCTAAAATTAAAAGTATCCACAGTGGATATCGAGATCGAGATCATGAGTATCCACAATACAAGAGTTCAGAGCTCAGAGCTGGGAACTTTTGTATTGTGGATATCGATATTAATGCTTGATATCCATGATTTGGTTCATTTGCTCATTGATTTAATCTTTATTCTATATGGTATTCGTACCAAGGGAGCTTTGATCAGAGGATAAATAACGAAAATTAAGAGATTAAGTATTGATCCTGAAATGAGAAGTGTCTACACAGTTGATATCGGGATCTTGAGTACATACTTACTTGGAATACTTGATGAGTTATCCCCAGGACTCCAGGTAGGAGCATAACGGGAATTTCAGTTAGGTCCTCTCAGAGAAGTGATCAAGTCCTCTAGATTTACGTCCTCCTTGTGTAACCTTTTCCACACTAATCCTGGCATAGTAATTCAAGGTGTTAAAGATGGGCGTCAAGTAGAGATTTAAAGATATTTAGAGATCTTGCATCCTTGATTTCAGTAGGTAAATTTTTCCAAAGGTTTACCACCCGGTTTGAGTAGAAGTTGCGTCGAAGATCTGTCCTAGAATGCTTTGGTACCAAGTTATCCTTGTAAGATGTCATTCTTGTCTGTCTTGCAACATCTGAGCCGACCAAGGTAAACCAAGTCCCCTTCTCTACTTTATCATAACCTCTGAGTATTTTAAATGTCTGAATAAGATCAAATCTAACTCTCCTTTGTTCCAGTGACTGGATACCAAGTTCCTGT